GGTTGGAGAGGATGCAAGGCTTTTGAAGTACGGTGTCTTGCTCTTTCAGTTCTGTTAAATAGGATGGTACTTTTTCCATCTCTTTGGGCCAAGGTTCACGGGCTTCATAGCGACATCTTTTCAGCCGCCTTGCTGAGAGATTAGGCAGCAGTTGTTTGAGAGAGAGAGAGAGAGAGAGAGATTAGCCAGCAGTAGCCAGCAGTGTTCGCTAAGACATCCTCCACTAATGCAATTTCTTCATTTCTATCTCTAATAATACTTCTTTTTTATCTAAAAAGAGGAAATTAGATAAATTTTCAAAAATAATTCTTAAACTCTAACTTAATTAATATATCCTAGATCAGATATGCAGTCCTAATAAAAGATAGAAGATAATAAATACATCTTATTTTGATAACCATTTCTTACTATTACATCTATTCCATTGTGATGTCCTGTTCTGAATTACTTCTTCATGTAGATCAAATTGTATAGTCCCAAGTTAAGGTCAATTATGATTGAAATATGTAGAATTTGGGGTTTAGGGATTGCCATGGAGAACCTACCTAGCTCAAGATTTAAGGCACTTTACACCCTGTTATTAATTAAATATTTTCTTAATTTTGATTTATGCTATCTGTTTAAATATTTACAGGTACTCTTTGTGGGTTCATCTTCAGCCTTTCTTGCATGTTATCGACTATAATACATGTTAGTCAAATAACTCAACAGTTTATTATTAAAAAAAGCATATGAACTTATATACTATTGGAAACTTTACAAGTTACATACTTTGTAAGCTTCTACAAATAAGGTAAGCCAAACACTTGCTTGTCAAAGTTTGATGGGGCCCTGGCAGTAGTATCCCTTATTGTAAAAATCTGTCTCTTTTGGCCAAATAGCTTCTCAAGTTTCCTTTTGAACCTAAGTCTTTGTAGTGCAGGGTAATTAACAGCATTTTTGGTTTGCATCATGATGGACAGCGTTCTGAAGCCATTATTTTGAGGACATATAAGATCCCCAGCCTTTCTGATTCATTCTTACCCTTGCTCAAATTGAGGGTGGTGAAGGTTCTCACTTACCCTTTTGAGAGGATCCTTGACATGATAACATTCCTTTAGCATCCCATTTCCCTCGTCTGTAAAGTATACCACCAAGTCACCATGTCAACATTTCTTTTCTTGAGTAGTCCTTTAATGATTCCATCTGTTGGAACAGATCTTTTAGAAACTTTAATGACTGGGAGGTTAATGAGATGAAGGTTTTGCTTCACCTACTTGATTCTGTTCTTATAACCCTGATCATAGAACCTGGTTTTCGGAAACCTCAAAGCCTCTAGTCATGCAAATCATATTATACTTTTTCTTCAGTTTACCGTCCTGCCTCCTGTAATGACACTTTAAAATAAAATTTTTTGGAAGATTTCCACTCTCTCTAAGATTGAAGTTTTAGTTTAGTCTGCAGTTTTCGGCAAGCTAAATACTAATTATATGCTCCCAGCTTGTTGACCAAATTGTGAATTGTACTCAGGGATTTGTGATGCGAAGATTCACAATCATCTATTTTTGCATTGTGATATGGCCTAGAGAATTTAGTGTCATTTGTTTGACACTTTTGGCATTTCTTGGGCTTCACCAAAAAAATAGGGCTGTCTTAATGTCTTTTCTTTGTTCCAAATTTGAAGAAAGAGATTAGGCTTCTTTGGTGCAATGCCTTCTTTGCTAGGTTATTTGTTGCAAGAAAACTGAGGGACTACTCTTCACCAATAATGATCCTTTGGGAAAAGTTGCCTTTCTTAGCTTCCCTTTATTATAAGGCATAAGATCACTTTAAGGATTTATCTTTATCTGCTTTAAAGAAAAACTGATATGTAGAAGAATTATCTAACCTTCATTTTTGTTTGTTTTTTTTATATTTTTTCTTTTCTTGAGGATTTCTTGTCCTCCTTTTTTGGTATGTTTTTTCTTCCTTTCTTTCTTAATAAGAATTTGTTTCTATCAAAATAAAAGAACTTTAGATCACCAATAGCCTCCTACTCTGACACCAACCTATTATGGTCCCAAGTTTCAAAATACACTCATAGCCTCCTACTCCGTTGTTTCAATCCCAACTTTAGGATCAGGTTATGGGTTCAAATATGTGGAATTTATGGTTCAGGTTTTACCGGAAAGAGATCACAGATCTCTAGAGTTAAGGTACTTTACAAACTGTTTTCAATTAATCATTCCTTATTCCTTTTATTCAAGTGAATTTTTTACATATTTATTGATGATCAGATCATGAGCCTTTCTTTTAACAGAGGGCCTCCTAGTCTGCTCCTAATAATGCTAAATGCAATAAATACCAAATTCCTAATTTTAAGGATCTTTCGTGACCCTATTTCTTACTTACTTCCACACTCATCCACTGAATATCCTCTTTTCCCAAATAAAATATTAAGTAAAACTGTTTAAGGAGTTCACTCTCCTGCATGGGGCCCACTCTTGAACTCCCACATTTTTCCTTGTTCTGCTTTCTTCTTTTCCTTTATCGGCTATTGGGCCATAAAAGAAATACAATGTGGTAAGATGGAAGATGTCATAACAAGGCCCAAGCTTTCTTATACTAATTCCAGCAGTTTTCATCTAAAGATATGTAGGTTCTAGTGATTCAGACAGTTTCCAAAAAGTTAAAATAGCAACAGTATCACTGCACTAAATCAGGATAGAACTTGAATATAGTAACTTGACAAAACTGACAAAATTTATCTGGGTTGGTGAAACATAAAAAAATTAGTTCTATGACAAAGAGGAAGAGAAGAAGTTAGAGCATTTGTTTGATTCACCAGTAACAACTTACGAGCATCATGATGTTAATGAATAACACATCCACTCTTCCTAAAGAAAGCAAAAACACACTTCATTCAACAATGAACCTAGAAGAATGAGAAATGATCACTGGAAGCTTATGGATCGGGTGCTACATGCAATCTTGATGCATCAAATAATGCCTAAATATTCCCAAAAATAATTATGGAGTAATTCCAGAAGACAACAGTAAAATCGAACTAAAAATCATGAGTATAGGACTGAAAATGTGTCAATTAGAACATGTTTCACTACCATCTAGTTCATTTGCAGTAATCTCTTCATTTGACTTACCCTTCCAGCCTTTACTGCTTTGCTAACCATTGAAAGAGCATTTAATACTATTTTTAAGTTTTTGTATGATAAAGATAAGATACTTAAATTGAGGTTAAAGGTGCACCCACCTCGCCGCTGAGTAGCATTCACGCTATCATCTAAACTCCTTAAGCGCTCCAGTAACTCATCAGTTAGTCTCTGTTTCACAACCCGTGATATCTCAATTACTGGCTCCTCGCTGGAAAGCTCATGCCTCAGTTTCTTCACCTTTAAGCCATTGCAACAAGTGATTCAATAAACTAAATCGAGTGACACAACTAAAGAAGTCGCACGTCAAATAACAAGATCATTGAGATACCCAGATACAATCATAAGCAGCCTCAAATTTTTACTAAAGAAAAGAGAGGAGAAAAATAAATACAAAGACACGGGTATATTATTTACCAATTTAACAAGCTCCGCAGGTTCTTTCGCTCTTCGAACCCGTATAGATTCCTCCATTTTCCTAATCTGATCCGGGGTGTAGTTTACAACTATAAAAGGAATAGAAAAATTAAGTGATAGTCTAAATGGCCCCATTATTAAGCTAGCGTCCAAGCAATTTCCTATATATATACATATATCGAAAAGATGAAAGAGATACATACCGTTGTTGCTACTAGAATAGATATAAAGAGAAGCATAAAGAGAACGAAGAACGTAAAGAGCAATGATAATGTTGACGGAGCAAACAATAAGAGTGGTCCTCTTGTACGAACAACCGCTCCCTCTCCCCCCTCCATATCCCCATTCTCCCCTCGCCATCTCTCTTCTTTAACCTCATTCCACCATATCTTCCTCCCTCTCTCTCTCTCTATCTCTCTCTCTCTCTAGAATCTTCTCTTTTCTGTCAAAACTCGCAGTAATTTCCCCCGGACTTAGTTCTCATTCGGCCCAACTAGATCGGTACACAGATCGCAACAACTAAAGAAACACCCGAAGGAATGCCGTGGATGCAACAAAATTCCCTAGAAAAATTGGGAGACGAAGAGAAATAGAAAGGGGCGGGTCGGATTCGTCAAATCTGAACCAACAGACAAAAAAACTAAATTGGTTCGCTTGCTTTATTCGGGGGGTGTTGATTTTTTTTTTTTTTTTTCTGCGTCATGTAATTTAAAATGTTAATAAGAAAATCCACGTGGTTTGATACAGGTCAATGTCATCTTCCATAAGCGTGCTTTTTCCCCCTCTTTATAATCGAGATCAGAAGCAGAAATTCAATATTATAAACGTGGTTAAAGTACCATTAGTTGGTAATTAATAATTAAGTGGATAATTATTAGGTTCAAGTTATGTTTTTAATTACGATTCAAAAAAAGTCAAACTATGAGTTAATAAACTTAATCCCACCAACATGTTCAATATTTTTTAGAGATATATTGTGTTAACTATTCATATTCCATCGTTAATCATTTAGAGAGAAATGAAAATTTTATATTAACTATGAAATATTTTAATATTACAATATAGTTTATTCATATAATTATAAAGTGTTTTCTTTTTTTTTTGGTAAATCTCATGGTTTTAGTGTATATGACAATTTTTAAAAAATTAAATTAAGAAGAGTTTTAATTTTGGAGTACTAAAACAGACCCGAATATATCTTATCTATTAAATAAAAATATATATCATGTCAATTTGTCAAAGGTATATACTTTATTATTTTTTATATAAGATAATATATTGGTTATATTTTTTTCTTTTAAAATACACATAAATATCAGCCCTTAAACATGTGGACTTCCGTTGCCATGCGATGATTACTTTGTTATCTGGTGTCGTCCACTTGATTGTTAGATATATAATCTTGCTAATAGTCGTGCCACGTGTACATGTATACTCTTTATTTTTTGATGTACCAATATTAAATAAATTTTATTACTACTATAAATTTTTTTATTATTAAACATATTGAGATGTTTATATTTATACAATGTTTTTTTTTTTTTTTGTAATTTGTTGGGAGCATCTTAATTAAAAGAATTTTACTATCATAACATGTTCTTTTTTGTCGGCATACATTATAATTAGATAGAATAAAATTTAATTTGATAATTATAATTTTATTAAATTATAAGTAAATTAAGTTTTATATCATATTAAATTAAGTATTGTGAGTTAACCATTGATTACTATTAATATGTTTACAAAAAACTAATTTCAACGTTATTAGTAAAATTTAAATTCATGATGTTTAAAGTAAATTAATAAATTTTATTTATTAAATTATCGTATAAATAATATATTTTTATAATAATTAAATATACTTTTTTGTTATATATGTATGTGTGTATATATATATATATATCGATGTAACAGAAGAATATATACTCGAACATAAATTTACTCTATGTACTATTTTTTTTCGTATGTTTGGTTCCAGCCTCAATTTTGTTATATATCTATATCAATATAATAAAAGAATATATACTAAAATATACATTTAGTGCATGCATTATTTATTTTTATTATTTAATTATTGTCTCAATTTTTCATTCATTTAGTTCATGTGTTTTCAAACAATATTCACATTAGTCCAATTCCATTATTAACGTTAAAAAAATTGCTAGTCCATATTGATATATATATATATATATATATCATGTTTATTCATTCCCTCTAGCCTTTTTTTTTTTTTTTACAAATTGCTCTATTTTTGGACTGAAGGCTTAATGGCTCTTTTTGATCAAATATAATAGGGTGATTTCCTATACACCATTTGCAGTACACCAACTTATATGACATAAGAGATTCGCATAAAAAGAAAATATATAAGTGATAATGTTGATATATAATCATATAGTGTTATCGACCTCATCTTAAAGATTGGGTATTTATTTTTTAATGTTCTAAATATTATGGAATTATATGAGAATATCTATAAATATGAATATCAATTTTTTAAGTTGATATCTCAATATCTCAAGTATTTCATATCTGATATTCATGATACGAATCTCAAAACCTAAATTATAATTGACAAAATTTCTACTGACTCTTGATTTTTTAAAAAAAAAAAACTGACCAAATTTTATGACGAAACAATAAAGGTGGATAAATAAGATAAAACCGAACACATTTCAAACTTTAATACTTTTTGTCTCATATCATTATCTAAATTAGATTTATTTGGTATATTCGATACGTTTTACAATTTAGTAGTGATGGCTAACGATTCTTCTCATGATATTCTGAAAAAACTGATGGAGATGGTGGGATGGATCACAAAGACTTAAAAAATTTAGAGTTAAGAAAAATAAAAATTTGGGCATTATAGTGGATGAGTATAATAGTAATATATGTTACCTATAATGAATGTTCATTAATCAACAAAATAGTGGGTCATTGTGAAGATAAAACAAAAAATTAGAAATGAAAGTTCATATAAAAAGTTTTCGAGGAACAGACTTAGGGCATAACTCATAGGGCAATAGGAAACTTAAGTTGCCAATGGCAAATATCTCAACTCTTGATTATCTTATGTGTGTGAAAAGAAGACTTTATGAAAAAAACAGTAAAAATAAATAAATATGAGATATTAATTTTTTTTAATAAAATGTGGACTAATTTGAATCATTTTTACATATAAAATTTGTTGTGATACGCATGTGACGTAAGTTAATGTATTTTCTAAAAATACCAAGTATAAAAAATGTTTGCACGTGATATTTGTAGTTAATGATGTTAGATGTTGATAACTTAAAAAAAAAGTTAATAATTTATTAGAAGATGTTATATGATAAAAAATTTTACACGTAACATTCAAAGTTAATAGTATTAAATATTAATAATAATTAATTATTTATTTAAATATATTTTGAAAATGTATTGATTATATTAAATCAAAATTGAAATAGAAACCAAATCGAAAAACAATAAATAATATAAAGACTAAATTTGTGTTTTAACGTTAAATATATATATATATATAAAAGTAAAATGTATTATAGAACTTTTCAAAAAGGAAATAGAATAAAGTTCTAAACTCATAATGAAATAATCATGACGAAAAGTACTTTGGACCTAACGCACCACAAACAAGAAAAATAATTTAACTTCAGAATTAATCCCTCAAATAAATTTCTTATTACCAAAGGAAGAATATATTAAAAGAAATTTCCAAAACAAAACGAAACAGTTAAAAGCAGCAGTAGTTATCCCGCGCCCGACTATCCCATATTTTGAGGATATTTTTGTTACATCAGACACAAATCAGGGGCAATTTAGTACTTTTACCTGATCGCGACGGCCACACCGAATTATGGCACGCTATCAAAACCCACACGTGGCCAATTACAAGAACTGTCCGGGTGAATGATTGTAGAGAATCGCTCAGACGAACTTCTCTCCCACCTCTCTCTTCTCAAACCAAAATTCGGCAGACACGAAAACCAGCACCTTCTGCATCGTTTCTATGAATTAAAGCGGATTCCCTGCAAATCCCCTTGGTTCCGTCCACCGGTGAAGAAGCGCTTTGAGAATCGACTAGAATCCGAGATTCTTGGGGAGGGGAAATGTGGGGATTCGAAAGCAGGTACTATTGGTGTAAGAAGGAAAGGCGAGGAGGGAAAATTGAAGGGATAATTGTGGTGTTTACTTGGATGTCGAGTCAAGAGAGGCACCTGAGGAAGTACGTAGAACTTTACTCGTCTCTCGGCTGGAATTCGCTTGTTTGCCACTCTGAATTCCTCAACATGTACGGTCTTCACCTACTCTTTTGGCTAGTAATTTATAGGCTTCTTGTTTTACTTTTGATTTTCTTTTCACTCGTGGTTTCTTTATTTATTTATTTATTTGGCTGCGGTTGGCTTTTCCTTCAGGGATTAATCTGGATGAGGCTTTTTTTTTTTTTTCTAAAAACCTGGGTGTAAATGTGACTTTTGGCGCTCTGTTCACTTTTGGTCTCTGTTTATGTTGAATAATTGTGCTACAGGGATTGGTTTGATAGTTTGGTTACAGTGGAAGAACTTTATTGATCTAACTTTTCTTCATTGATTTGGTTTTATACAGACTACAAAATTTATACATGCTACCGTATTTAGAGTGCTGAGAGAAACGGGCGATTCTAATCTTCCAATTTGTCGATAGTTTTATACTAGGCCTACCTAGAGGTGCCTAGACATACATCTTCAGATAGTTTTGAAAGGAAGTGACCCTATCGAATTAGCAGGTCCATTTTAATGTTCATGCTGCAACGGAAACAGTTGAAATATTTAGGCTATGAATATCTTCCTAGTTTAGTGAGTAGGCGAAGCTTGCAAGATTATTGTAGGAAATAGGATATTCAGATGCACGAGTTTGTGACTCAACTCCAATGTTGTAATCCCATGGCCCTGGTTTGTATTTGTTGTTTATTTATCACTACTTAAGAGGGACCGGCACCTCCGATTTGCATCTTTTTCTAGGGATAAACAAAAACAAGTAGCAGCAATATCTTAGGTTAAGCTCCAACTTAAAATTGGGGGTGTTTCAATCTAAAGCTATAACATGTTCTGGTACTCACTGAGTACTGAGATTATGGTTTTACTCGTTTCCTTTCTTTCATTCTTCTTATACCTTACCTACCTTTTGGCCCTTTTTTGCAGTCATTTTCCTCAACTATCTCATGCATACCTCCTTTCTACACTTTTACATGTGTGCACTCCCTATTTTGTTGCTCCTTTATGTATTTTATTCTCTCTTCTGAAAAAATGAAAAAGAAAATGCTGTTAATCGTAAACTTTCCTGGGATTGTTTCTGGTTGTAATTTTACTGTCTTATTGATATTTTCATTACCTTGAACATCAGTCTACACCTGTCTCAAACTAATTAAATCAGCTGATAGATGTTTCATTATTTCCTGGTGGGTAACTTAATTATTCCTATTGAAAAATTGGACTATAAATATATAGCTATTTGGCTGTGTTCTTTGTAAATTGTGATGCTATCTATCAATTTTTTCACCATAAATCATGCAGTTAAAAGTTGCTTTCTTCAATGCAAACAAAGGTACAAATAAAACACAGTTAATGTTTTCTGCAGGTTCTTCCCTGAGAAGGCTGCAACAATAGCTTCTGCAGTTCTCAATGAACTTCTGGAGGTCAGCACTATTATGTTTGTTTGAGTAGAATTAAGGAGTTTACTTTGGTAGACTTGAATGGAAATTATCTGATTATCTACCCAGGAATCATTTGTCTCAAATCTTGTTTATGCCAAAAGATACAAATATTTGGAGGGAACTTAGAGGGTGTTTGGATTGCTGAAAGAATGGGCGTAAAATAATTGTTCAGTTTAAACCACGTAAAACGGGCAGATACCTAGTTAAAAGAGTACTTACTAGTTTGGATAAATATTGATTGCAAAATATAAGTAGTTATTTTTGGTAAAAATTAAGAAAATATTTCATAAGTTACATTATTATATGGATATTGTTAATTTAAGTGAATATCAAAAAGTTGTTAAGTATTGCTAGATAAAAAAAATATATAAGAAGCTAAAAAGTTAATAATGAGATACTTATTTTGTATCTTAATAAAGTTACTTTTAAGAACCTAATAAACATCTGCATACCATCTTTTAAGAATTCCTTTTCCCCTTCAGATTGTTGAATTTAGGAGTTGGATAGTATGGCACTTCTTTATCGTGCATGCTAAGCACTAGTCAGTTCCATTGCTAGAGATGGCCTTTTATCGTAACATGGCATTCTCATCTTTTTCATCTTGATCAAGTTTTAGCATTAGACTAGTTTCATATTGGTTGAAGCTTGATGGATAAGTTTGTTCCCCTTAATGATGGTTACCTTAATAATTTGGCATGCAGGAGCTAAAGGTTAGGCCATGCCCAGTCGTCTTTGCATCATTTTCTGGTGGAACAAAAGCTTGCATGTACAAGGTTCTTCAGGTAAGCTTCTAAAATTTTTGCAATTTCTTATTTCTGTGCTTTAGGTTTTCATGTCAATTATACCCATCTTTTCTTCCCAATGTAGAATTGTGTACTATCAGTTTTATTATCCTATTTAATCAATAGATTATGTTATTCAGTGACGTTTTTTCCTCTTTCCCAGATAATTGACAGAAAGCATGAAGCACAACTGAACAAGGTAAATAGTTCTTATGTAATTCAATAGGCATTGGGTTTTCTTTCTTTCTTTTTTCTTAAATTGATAACATAGGTTATTGTTTGTGAGGGATTTGCATAAGCTGACAAATTGGCCTATGAAATTAAGATTAATTATTCGGTTTCTTTAGGTGTTGAAACTGTTCCTATCTCACTTTTTCTGCCTTTCATATGGTTCTCCTTAATCTGCAAATTTGATTTTTCTTTGGTGAAGGATGAATGCCAATTGATTAGAGACTGCATTGTGGGGCACATTTATGATTCCAGTCCGGTGGATTTTACCAGTGATTTAGGGACTCGGTTTGCTGTTCATCCATCTATTCTCAAAATCTCCCGTCCACCGAGATTAGCTACATGGATAGCAAATGGTATTGCCTCTGGCCTTGATGCTCTCTTCCTCAGCAGGTTTGAATCTCAGCGTGCTGAGTATTGGCAGACTCTGTACTCCTCGGTTGTAAGTATAATTAGACTATTGCTATACAAAGAGTTATGCATGGTCTTTTGTTATCATTTGATTTCAATTGCTGTGCAGAGCATCGGGGGACCATATCTCATTTTTCGCTCCGAAAATGATGATTTGGCTCCTTATCAAATCATCGACAATTTTGCTCAACGACTAAAAGAACTTGGTGGTGATGTAAAACTTGTGAAATGGAGTGTCTCACCTCATGTAGGTCTGTCTTTCAATCTAATGTGGTACTTCTCCACCTCCATAGAAGTGCCTATGGTTTGCGTGTCGTTTGGAAGTGTGCTTGAATTTTTTTTTATAAAAAAGAAATCTACCTTATATATATTTATCTATAGAAACCATCTTCAGATTACTTTTACTATACACAAAAACATGTTTGAAATATTTCTTGTGTCCTTAGAATTGAGCTTGAATTGTTAAAAAAAAAGGCATCATATATATTTCTCTTTAGCAACCATCTTTGGGCTCCTTTTATGACACACTAAGATATATTGGAAATAATAATCTCTGCCACCTCCATTACCGAGGAGCTTAGCCCTCAACCAAGAGAAAAGTAGAAAGAGAACACATTGAGACCAATGAAGAACTGGTTTTCCTGTGTAATATCAGCTGTTCATATTGTAATATGCAACAAATGTTCTTGCACCATGTCTCATTAGAAAACACTGCTAATTGTGGAGTTTTCTCATTATTAAGATCCTGGCGTGAAAGAAAGTGCATTCCTTGTTTATCATGGAGTTTTAGGCCCAAGCGAAACAAAAGAAAAAATTTGAGATGAAAATTCTACAATGTTTAATGTTTATTATCTTTAGGTACTGGAAAACCAAATTTAAATATGTAGTTCTGGGAAGTCCTAATTCAAGAAAGTTTGTTGTCCTCTATTTTTGAATTATTTACTAGAATGGGTTACATAAATTTAGTTGATGTGATTGAATGTTGTTACAGGTCATTTTTTGCAGTACCCAATTGACTACAGGGCTGCTGTTACTGAACTGCTTGGTAAGGCATCTGCACTTTATTCCCAAAAGATTCGACGACTTGAAGGAGAGAAGGCAGAGTTAGAAGGAATACATGATGATGTATCTGAGCCAATCCATGAGCTGAGGAAAGCCGCTGTAAGCCCTCGTCAGAGCTTCAGGGGGACAAGTGACAATTTCCTCCTGCCTAGCTCTATGGAGTATTATGAAGGTGGAGATGTTGGATCAATGCAAGATGAAAGCAAAGAAGGTGTTATTCATTTGCCTAACCCGCCAACCATGAATCCACATGGAGTTCTCGGCCAAATCCTTTTTGATGTGTGTGTTCCCAGGAATGTGGAAGGTTGGGATATGAGGTCATCAGGTTCCATGAATGGACGCCCATATGCTTCTAGGCAGAGGCATGCTCCGTTTAATCCCATTAAGTGCATACGTAGATCTAGATTGTAACATCTAAAACTGATAAGTCCCAGAGGAGAGTTGTCCCTAATTCATGGAGAGTTGAGTTGGTAAATCTAGATGAAGGGCAAGTAATCTTAAAGGTACTTAATATTCCAGGAACATGAATAAATAAGGCAATATGGAATCCTCTTGCCGGAGAATAATAGCATTGCCTTGGTTTAGTCTTCTTGTCAAAATGTGTAGATACTATTGTACAGATAATTGTAAAAATGAAAGAGAGTAAGGCGGATACTATCCATCTTGTTTCTACAATGGAGTAATCTTGGGTGCAGGTCAGAGTCCATGAAAGGCTATCCTTGGGTTATAAGGCATTTGCAAGGTACATTCTACTTTGCTATTCACAAACTTGAAAGAAAATTATCAGAAAGCTGTGAGGACTTCAAATTAATAGATGAGGATGCGAGTTTCGTAAAAACCTAAATATACATTTTTAAGAGTTATATTAAGGGTAAATTACCTAAACTTGGAACTTATAACGTGACCTGCTGATGCGGCTTATATAAAGAACCCATGCAGGACAGTTGGTTGAAATTCGTCTAGTATTTATGTACCTAATTAGTCCTTAAAAAAAAATCAAAATCAAAATCAACCAAACTATGACCAAATTAATAAATCTCTTTGGATTGTTTAGAATATTAGATGATGTAACTTAACTATAATAAAAACTGTCACTATATAAATATACGTACTAAATTGGCAAATAATCTATACGCCTAGTATTTAGCCTCTATATTTTTTTAGTATCTAATTACAATATTTAACAATTTTGTGTGTTATTTCTCTAGGGGTGAAGAATTTACGGGTTTGTTTTTACTTATTGACCATTAAACTGAAATAAGAAATTAGACTATTCAGACTATTGAACTCTGAATTTAATCTACAGTCAACACTTTACTACAAATGAATTATTATTGTTAATTTTAGTTTTTTTTTTTTATTTTTTAAAAAAGATATCTCCTATTTTTCCCCAAAACCAATATTTATTATTTATTAGTTTAGTTACAAAACTTCTCACTTACCCTTATAATTTTGCTGTAATCAAGTTCTTAATCTTTTACTTCTAGTTAAATAAGCTATTTACTTAATTTGTCCTCGTGTATTATCTCTGTCGTTAAAAATTATTAACGTTTGCCCATTGGATCTTCCTTATTTGTTGAAGCACCCCGACCATCGACCACCGACACACTACCGACAGCGATACAGTATGAAGATATTGGTCACTGGCGCTTCCGGCTACATTGGAGGAAGACTGTGCCACGCCCTCCTGAGCCAGGGCCACGCAGTCCGGGCCCTCGTCCGACCTACCAGCGACATCTCTGGCCTTCCAGATGTTGAGCTCGCTTACGGCGACGTCACCGATTACCAGTCTCTCCTCGATGCCTGCTCCGATTGTAACGTCATCTTCCACGTAGCAGCCGTTGTCGAACCGTGGCTTCCTGATCCTTCCAAATTCTTCTCAGTAAGAAAACGCACTAAATTGTTTCCCAATTCTCTCTCATTACAATTCATTTAAGCTTAATTCGCCCAATTTGTTGAACCGTTGTTTTTAGGTTAACGTCGGAGGATTGAAGAACGTGTTGCAAGCAGTTAAAGAGAGTAGAACAGTCGAGAAGATTATCTATACGTCGTCGATTTTCGCTCTTGGTCCAACCGATGGGTACATTGCAGACGAGAAACAAGTATGAAAAACGCAGTACAAAATTCGAATGTTCTACTTGGTTTTGGTTATCATTTGCTGATGAATTTATTTTATTTCGTTTTGTTTGGATTGAAAATAATCTGTGGGGTAAGGTACATCCAGAGAAGTTCTTCTGTTCAGAGTACGAGAGATCAAAGGCTGCCGCCGATAAGATCGCGTTGCAAGCTGCTGCTGAAGGGATGCCCATAGTGCCCGTTTATCCCGGCGTTGTTTACGGCCCAGGAAAACTCACCAAAGGCAATTTTGTTGCTCAGTTGGTAAAATTTGTTGCCTGTTTCAAATCAGTTGTCTTTGTTTTCTTTCTGGGTCTGCATAAACTGTTAAGCACAGTGGATATTTGATATTTCGGATGATAAACGAGGGATATGCCAATTTATGAAGAAAGGTCTTTCTCTTTTTTGGGTAATTTTGGCAGAGCTGATGTTCATACTAACATTGACATAGTTAACTCTGTTACTCCTTAACTATATTAACTGAGATTTTGCTTGTGACTAGGTGTATATTTTTGGTCTTAATGCATTTTTTATTCAGGTTGTCAGTCCCTAGATTTGATTCCTCCAGTTTATTTTATGTTTATATTTGGAAAGAGAAGGAAAATTCAATTCCTTGTAGCCTTTAAGCTCTGCCATTCTTTAAACTTTTTTTTTGCTATTGATACTTCATTTATAATGGAGAATCCTTTGCGATGAAGTCTGAATTTCACTTGGTTATTCCTTGATATTATGTGTTAATTCTACCTAATGTGCATCTGCAAAATTTTGATCTTGTTCACTAACGACCAGTGGTTCTTCATAACTTCAATGCTTTCAGATTATTGAACGGTTTAATGGGAGATTACCTGGATACATGGGCCCTGGAAATGAAAAATTTTCCTTTAGTCATGTAGATGATGTGGTAGAGGGTCATGTTTCAGCAATGGAGAAAGGTCGTCCGGGTGAAAGATACCTACTTACTGGAGAAAATGCATCAACGATGCATCTTTTCGACATGGCTGCTATTATCACTGAAACTAGAAGGCCTGGATTTAGAATTCCATTGTGGTTGCTTGATGCTTATGCCTGGTTGTCGGTTCTTTTTTCTCGAATAACTGGAAAGGTTCCTCTCGTCAGTCCTCCGGTAGATTTTTCTCTCTGTAATTGGTTAAGCCATCATCGATTGTTTTGTTGGTTTCTGTTGTTTTCTGGGTGTTGTTTCTTACAATTAGGGGTGATCTATTTTGGGCAGGCTGTGCGTATTCTGAGACATCAGTGGGCGTATTCATGCGAGAAGGCAAAAGCAGAGTTGAATTATAATCCCAGGAGCTTGAAAGAAGGACTAGAAGTGATGATTCCTTGGTTGAAGAACTTGGGCGTGATAACTTACTGAAGGGAAAAATATGTTGTTGCTTGCCCAATTTGGGGATGGACTGAAGAAACAAAATAAACGAAATGCATCTTACATGTTCTTGTGCTAAATAACAGTCGAAATTTACTTTATAATATGTAAAAAAAAAAAAAAAAAAAAAAGAGGTAATTTCTGGATCAACCAATTGTAGAAATTAAAAAACAAAAAAAAAAAGGAGAATATGGTCGAAAATTAAAATTTTAAAAGACTTTGAATATATTTATTTTCAACTTATATATATTTTAAAATATATACATTTTAATTAACATACCTAATAATTATAATTTATGATGACGTTTACAATAATTAATTCTTGTATGTTTTACTGCAATAAGTATTTAACTAAAGTGCTATGATAAAAGCGATTAAATTTTATTAATAAAAAAAGATAACAATATGAACTTAGAAAAAAGAAGAACAAAAAAATATAGAAGAGATAAGAGAAAAATAAATGAATTTATATAATAATATCAATGGAAAATATTACAAAAAAAAAAACAACTCTAAAATTATTATTAAAATAAAATTTTTCATCATAATTTTGTTTTTGAATTTGTAAATTATTTGATTCATTATATATATATATATATATTTTCTGTAAAATTAATAAAATTTTGAATAATTTTTTTTTCATATTTTGTTGCAATTGAAGTTTAAAATTATAATAATTAAAAAATTAACCTTGATAAAAATAATCAATACATTCTATTTAAATTATTTAAAATGATAATAGTAATAGTAGAACAAAGGTTTCGAAATAATTACATATTGAATTTTCTGAATTAGAAACACTAAATTTACTATTTTTGTAATAATTTTAATAGAAAAATCTCATTTGGAGATTAAAATCCCTACCGTGTACTTTAGTTAGTCACTTGATAATTTGCATCAACTGCTGGGATTCACAGATTCAACACGAGTTCATGGTTAGACAGCAGATAATGATCTGGAGGGAAGAAGATGACGACTCCATAGAAATATTGGGCATATAACCTTTAATAAAACCTTTTTAAATTAATTTTGACAAAAACCATATATATATATATATATCCTTTTGATAATTCTCAAGTATAATTTTATAGTAAATGGTTTTATAACACTTGAAAAATTAAGTAACTTTTTTCTGCTGTTGATAAATTTACCCATAATTTTATGTAAATGAAAAAAAAATTAAACTATTAAAAAATTGCAGAAACATTAATTATTTAAAGAAATTTTGATTCATAGCCGGCTAAAATTGCGTTTTCTGCAAAAATATTATTTGCACAATTTGCCCGTCCCGTGAGGAGCTGTATTTGACTCGGTTCATGTGCGCCTCTCACTATCGTGCGCTTCCAAATCTAACCTCCATTAACCTACGCCGCCTCCTATTAAAAAGTAAAAAAGAAAAACCGTCCGGCAACTTGTCCCAATTGCTCCTCGATCCGACTTCGGCTTGGTTCTCTACAATTGGGCCCACTCAACATGCGCCACGTCACCTACATCTGCGAACCGTGATGTTTGATCCAACGAGTAAGAAACAGCTCATCGCGTAAATTTGTGGGACCCTCTTATTTCGTCTGATGGCGGCTCCAAAACGGCTTTGGGCGCCGATTAAACGGAACTCTGCGTTTTTTGCCACGTCACCGAAAGAAATAAGAGATGGGAGGGAAAAAAAAAAAAAAAAAAAAAAAAGGTGAAGAGCCAGCTGCATTTGCGCATTTGTAAAACGAGAGCTTTCTCTCTCATGGCTTCAACAATGGAATTTTTGCAGGGCGCCGGGATCCGCGTTTCTCGATCGTAGCGACCTTCTCATTCTATTAGCGCGTAATCTTCATCGCCTTTACTACGATTCTTTCGCTCTGTAACTCTTTCCTTATTCTTCTTCTTTTCTTTCCTTTTTAGATTCCCTGCGATTAATTTTCTCTTCCGCTTGCTATGTTATCCCATTGATTTTACGAATTTAGGCACCGAATTTGTAATACTATAATGTTACATTTACGTTTAGGGTTCTTTTGTCTTCCACATTGACTTTGGAATTGATAGATGTAGTAATGTTTCTCTGATTTGTTTCCTGATTATTTTTTCGCTTATCTGATTAACATCTTTCACGGTTTAGGTTCCTTATTTTTCGGCAATAATGTGATTTCTTCTTTTGTTTTGGTTATTTTTGTCGTTTTCCTTACTTTCTTGAAGATCTCGATCGTTTTGTCGTAACCGTGGCCGTCCGAGATATTGATTTTGCTGATTTAACGCTTAATATCCGCAAATGTGAACAGTTCAATTCGATTTGATTTGGCGTTTAGAACTAAGAAATGCTATGCGCGTTCGAACTTTGATCCCTGTAATTGGCTTTGGTTTTATTTCAGGATTTTAGCTAGTGATGCGGGACTAGGAGAATTAGAAGCAAGTGCAGGATTATCTTTGATTGGGATTTTTAATTCTGAAAAACAATGTCATCGAGGGGGGAACATCACACTGTCCCACTTTCAGTGCTTCTGAAACGAGAATTAGCGAACGAGAAGGTTGATAATCCGGAGATTCAGCATGGACAGGCCAGCCAAAGCAAGAAAGGGGAAGACTTCACTCTGCTTAAAACGGAATGCCAAAGGGCCAGGGGAGATGGAGTCGCCACATTCTCTGTTTTTGGGGTAGGTGTTGGTCATCGATAGTTCTCTCGTTCTCGTTATTTTTCCTTTTGGCATTTATCGCCAATCAGTATGTTGGGTATGTCTAATTTAGATATGGCAACCTATTCCATGGATGCAAATTTTGAGATATTTGTCTTATCATAGAGGAGGTGTTCCGGGAGAAACCTTGGATCAATTTAAGGAAATGAAAACTATTGATAACTTCTTGATGTTCCATTAAACATGGAAAATTGGAAGTCACATGATATGCCTGGCATGATAACACTTCCTGCGGCAGATGCATGATCCATGTACTGTTTTATGTATTCTAGATTTGGATAAATTGGAGTATATAATTGTATTTTGAGATCTAATGAATTGAGGATGGTTTATTCCAAAACCCAATTTTGACCAGCTAGGATAGGTTGGCAGTTGTGTTTCAGTAGCTTTTGTCATCTAAAAGTTGTTGTTTTTGGAGTATTTCATTGCGGACAAGGCATTTAGAGATTTGGTTTGCTATGGTTGAATCATGACATGGCACCATATGTATGTCAGTATAGTTATCAATAAACTACTCTAAACTGTATTTATGATTGAATTGATGTATTTTGTACATAATCCATAATTTTGTTATGTTTGCTAAGTTGTTTCTCCTACATATGCGTTGCAGTTATTTGATGGGCACAATGGGTCTGCAGCTGCTATTTATACTAAGGAGAATCTCCTAAATAATGTCTTAAGTGCTCTTCCCTCAGATCTTAACAGAGACGAGTGGGTTGCAGCACTGCCGAGAGCTTTGGTTGCAGGTTTTGTTAAAACAGATAAGGATTTTCAAGAGAGAGGTATGCAGTGTTTCTGTGTAAACTGATACTGTTTAAACTTTTTTTCTTAAGAAAGTGGCCTTCTAAGAAATGTGAACAACAGTATCTTAGTGTAAATTTTGAGCACATGGTATTGGAAAATGTATGCCCTAATAATAGAAGGAACTCATGACTTTTTGGTGGTGGATCTGGAGTTTATCATACTTTTCTGAGTCAGTTCTGTCTAACATATATATTTATTTATTTATTTCAAATTATTGATGCTATTGCATATTGTTATGGGCATTTCAGCTCGAACATCAGGAACTACTGTTACCTTTGTCATAATAGAAGGATGGGTGGTGACTGTTGCATCTGTTGGGGATTCCCGTTGTATACTTGAACCGGCTGAAGGTGGTATTTATTACTTGTCAGCAGATCATCGGCTCGAGTGTAATGAAGAGGAGTAAGTAATTTATATGTGCTTGGTAAACATTTGTAAATAATCTCTTGCTATATTGTCCTCAACCTTTTGTTATGTTTCGTTCTTTGCTTCTTTAATTTTCTTTACACATTTTAGGAGACAGCGTGTTACTGCTAGTGGAGGGGAAGTTGGTCGGCTAAATACTGGTGGTGGTACGGAGGTAATTTTCTCTCATTACAAATTTGTATTCTCTGTTCTTTTCATGTTTCTTAGCAGGTAACATAAAATATTCTTTTTTAAGCTTAGCACTAAAAATTTCCATTTTCCCTGTAAATTATATATACGGCTTTCAATTTAAAAAGGAAGGTTGTCTAACTAGAAAACTGATTCTTTTACAGATTGGCCCATTGAGATGTTGGCCTGGTGGCTTGTGTCTTTCACGATCCATTGGAGATATGGATGTCGGCGAGTTCATTGTTCCTGTTCCCTATGTAAAGCAAGTAAAGGTTAGTCCTTTCTTCTTTTTGTGATATTCAATGTGTTTATCTGCTTTGGCTTATGTAGTTTATTTGTTCTACCAACTTCTCTTCTGTATGCTTTGCCTTGATCATTTGTCCATTTCTCTTGCATAATTATTACGAGGAGTACCTGGTTAAATAACATATTATTCATGTTTTCAGACTTTGTTAAAATATTTTTATTGTTGGTTAATTGCCTCTGGAATGAGAGTGAAGGGGTTCAAGTGCATGCTTTGACTTCACTATGCATTGTGTAAGGCATCTTCAGTAGGTTCGTCTACCATTCCTTTGTACTTATGTGGACTTGCATCGCTCTAAGATTTATGAATTTGATACACATGTTGTATTTTCTGTAAGGCCAAGGTCTCATGACAAAAATTTAATTAAGCAGGCTAACGTCGAAGTGACAAGCCAATCAACTTGAAAGAAATCATGCAGATCTTTGTTTTATGATTCTTTTGGATTGAAAATTAAATTTTGAATCAACAGAGCAAGCAAAAATGGTTAACAATTTTTATAATAACTTTTCAGAAACACCTATGGGCAGGACTGAACATTTTGTCTTTTCCTAGGCAGCATTTCAATATTTACTTTCAGGACCTTCAAGGCAAAAGCTTTCTGAAGAGCTCCTTATGGCAAACCAGAATGCATGTTTCTGACCTAAGAAGAGTCTAACATGCAAACCTTAATGTCTACCACCCATGGAGAATAAACCATGTTTAACTTAAAAATGTCCATAGCATTAAGTCTAATTCATATTGTTGTGTTCCATGGTGTTTCAAAAGTCTTCTACTTTAATTTTCACTGTCTTTCACTGTTGCACAAGGAGCACCATTAACCAAAATCTTCCTTCTTTTTCTCGTTAAATTGTATTATTCTTTTTGATCATTCACCACCTCATACATAATTCTGCAAGCTTTGTCGAAACATACAAATTTTTGGGTAGAGATGCATTACGATGTTTACATATAACATATTGTATAGTTGTATTTCCTCATGTCATGATATTCTATGTCCTAGATGTTCCCTCGTGGTCCCTGCAGAATAACTTGTATAGTTGAAGTGGATGCATAAGAATCAAAACCTCCAGAATAACTCATGTCATGATATTTTATGTGCTAGATGTCCCCCTTTGGTCCTGACAACTCCTCTCAAGAAGGAAAAAAATAAATATAAGGGGCAAGGGTTGCCCTTTCATTTCAGGAGAAGTCATCAATGACTGGATCACTGGCTGAAAGAACAGTGGTGGGACTTCACACACAGAGGACCCTTCGTCCTAAGCCTCCAAAATGGCTTGTTATTCACACTGGTGTAGCCTTTAATAATATAAAAAATTAATTAGCATCACCCACATATTGAAAATATTCTGTTGTAAAAGAAGAAAATTATTGTCTTATATCTTGGCCAAGTGTATTTTTTAGTGAGGTTATTTATATTGGTTTGCAGTGAGTAGATAAGCATGAGTTATATCCTCAATTGATATCTTCATTCTGATGGAAGATGTATATCCAATAAGTTGAGGACTTTTCTTGTTATAGTTCTTACCCCTTTATTCACATCTCAATCCCCCATATTGATTTCTATGTTGGATGGGTGAGGTATTGAAGTCAAATAATTTACTGTGGTTTCTCTTAAAAATTATTGATGGGACACCAACAACATGAGTTGAACTGGACATAAAATTATCTAGTTTCTCTGTGTTTCCTTGGTGCTTTGGTCAAAATCCAATTGATCTATTTGTGACTATTAATCATGTTGTTTTGATATATTTAACAATATGACCGATGCTAATATGGTTAACTAATATCTTTGTGACAATTATGATAGCATGAAATGTAAGTCTTATGTTTCAGATGTTAATTCATATTCTATTTGCAATTTATTTGGTTTAAATTTTCTCTAATGAAGTTCTTAGCAGTTATATTTTATTGGTTGTCTCTGCAGCTGTCAACAGCTGGTGGCAGGCTTATTATCTCAAGTGATGGTGTTTGGGATAATTTAACTGCTGAAACAGCCCTTGATTGTTGTCGTGGCATGTCGGCTGAAGCTGCAGCTGCCCAAATTGTTAAAGTATGCACTACCTCCTAGTCACCTTAAATGTGTGGTTTTGCATTGTTTGCGTGCATGAGATTGTGTCCATGCTTGTCTTTATTTATTTTGAGACGTGTATTATATATATTATATAAATATGCCCGTATACATGCAGTTGTGAAAATGGTGATGCTCCAATATTATTGACACGGTTGCACTGGCAAGATATATCCTAATTTACATACTTTGGCTTATCCTATGTTTTCTATGATTAGGAAGCTTTACAGGCGAAGGGTCTCCGAGACGATACAACCTGCATTGTAGTTGATATACTACCACAGGAAAAGCCACCTGCTCCTTTGCCTCCCTCAAAGAAGCAGGGAAAAGGAATGTTCAAGTCCATGTTTCGCAAGAAATCCTCTGAATCGTCTTCTAATATTGATAAAGAATATATGGAACCGGATATAGTGGAAGAATTGTTTGAGGAAGGGTCTGCTATGCTTTCAGAAAGGTTGTGGTCTGAAAACCTAGCAATTTAAATCTTCAGACCATATCTGTCTATCTGCCATTTCTGGTTGCCCTTTGCAATTTCAACTTAGGCAGTCTATAGGACATGAGAAACATTGTTTCTAGTGTATTATCTTTTGACAAGCCTCTTTGTGTATAATGCAGGTTAGATACAAAATATCCACTTTGCAACATGTTTAAATTGTTTGTATGTGCTGTGTGTCAAGTTGACACAAAACCTGGTGAGGGAATTTCAATACATGCTGGCTCATCAAATTCTGGAAAGCTACGTCCCTGGGATGGTCCTTTCCTTTGCTTAAGTTGCCAAGAGAAGAAGAAGCCATGGAAAGGAAAAAGAGCATTGTTAGGTGTGATGCACTCCCGCTTTTCTCTACCGCACACTTCCCACTTGGTGGCTGTTTGCTGCAAATAATGTGACTAAGGAAACTTTGTTTTCTGTGTTTTTCTTTTTCCAGATAGACATAGTAGTGAGAGTGACTAGACAACGCTCTGCAAGGCGTTTTGTGTGCACTAACAATTGTTTTAAATGTGATCGGAAGATGAAGCTTTCTAACGATATTAAATTCCCTTCACTTTCTCATGGTGGATTTGAGAAATTTGATCATCCTGATGTTGACTTCTGCACCCATTTCACTTTCTTCCCAGCTCATGTTCTGTGCGCGGAAGACCAGGGTTAGAATGTGGCTTAACCATCTGTTGCTGTTTCTGACATCTGGAATGATAAGAATTATGCCTGCATGTTCAAATAGTTTATGGAAGGCTCCGAATCTTCCATTGTATAATTAAATGCAAAGGTAAATCAATTCTGCCCCGGTCCTTTCCCATTGCATGCCAGTTCTTCCTGATCACAGAGCTAACATTTAATGATAGCATCCTACAGTGTAATATTATAATATTATAGGGAGTTTGATGAACAGATACAGATTTGTTCCACATTAGGAAAGCCTGAACGATATGAATTTGTTCACGTAGAGTTAATTTGAACCTTCCTTTTGAGAAGTTGGAAGGTGAACCTCTGGAATAGGAAAATAGCCAGATTGTTTGTGATTTTTGTCAAATCAGTGGATGCGTACATTGTTTGTGATACTTGTTTCTAAAAAGTTCAAATGTTCTAATTGTAATGTTTGATATCTTAGGCTTTAAATTATTTCTATTTCTTTCCAGTGTTATTGCCGGGGGAAAACTGATGTGACTCTAGTTTTTCTTTTACCCTATAAGCCTGAGTTGGTCAAAATGTCAGACAAGGCATATTTCGTATTTATTTATTTTTATTTAATTGTTTCCTCCTTAAATATAAATATGTATATCTTGGTAAATATATAAAAAATCCACTCTATCTGCCTGCCATGATAGAATAAATTTGAGTTATTCACGCCTGTGGGGGGGGGGGGGGGACCGGCCACTTCAGAGACAGATGGATACACAGCTTGGGCTTCTCTAGTTAAATACGCATGGGAAGTCGCTACCATCTCTGTCCTTGGAAATTGAGCTAATTAAATTTCAAAATAGAATACATCTCACACGTTAAGACGAGGCTAAATCGAAAGAAGATGGTAGATATTTTGTTGGGCTGATAGAGAACCACAACATGCCTACAGTACGATCAAAAATGAAAGGTCCATAAGAAAGACGCACAAATGAGGAAAGGGATAAACATTCTATAATACAATCCTAGTATTTTTTTTTTTTGGGTAGTGTTATAGCAACCCTTATTCTCTGTGGTACTAAGTATTGGAAGGTTTTGTTTGATACAAAAATTAATCTGCAACTATATTTCAGAATACCAAACATACCGAATGTTACTATATTATCTTGTACTGATTGAAAAACAAAAAAAAAAAAAAAAAAAAAAAAGGGGAAAGAAAGAAAGAAAGAAGAAACATGTGAGAAACACATGCGGGCAGCAGAGGCGGAAAGTGAGAGTAAAAGTAGATCGAGTGGAAAGAGTAATACGAGTCTGGAGTCTTATCTGGAAGAGAAATTAGAAGGAAGAAAAGATTAATCGAGTGGTGGAAGGGAAGAAGGAAAAATAATGGGTGCATGATTGAGATGTTGACCTGAACTAAAACAACAAAAATGGTCTACTTGTACACGTGTGTGTGGGGCTACCACAACTCCCACACTCTTGTTACTATCTTTTGTCTACAGAATCCATCCTTATCGTAGTCAATGTGGGATTAAAAAATGACTCACCTCATTCACGTGCACACTCACCTTGCTTTTAATCCTTTTGCCTCAATCCCTTTATTCTTAAATTGACCCATCACACATTCCACTCTCTCTCTCTCTCTCTATATATATATATATATGTGTGCATGCAAGAGAATGCTTTTTATATGCAAAGGGATTATTGGTTATGCCATAAATATCGATGTTACTTCACTAGACAAGGATATTGTAAAATGTAAATGAAGTAAGTTTTGTTTTTTGTGAAGATATTCACTGTTCAGTGTTTTTACTGGGTTTTCATTAATTTGAGCTGTAACAGTTTAATCATAGGAGGGTCTCGTCACCTCACCTCAACCACGTCCTTCTTCAGTCATTATCTTCAAATCACAGCTAGCATCGAATGAACCTCCCAGCACAACATTGAAAATAATATATATATATATATATATATATATATATCATTCATGCATCAGATCATACTACTATTCTCTATTATTTTATACACCGATATACAGGTATAATTCAATTACCACTCAGATATTAAGACTTAATATCACATTCAAATAATGTTATTAATCTATTACGACTTGTTGGCATTTTCCAACACTTGATGCAGACACATATATTACATTAATCTTCTACTTGGTATGTGTGTGTGTGTGTTTGTATATACATATATATGTAATCAAGATGGTGACATTTAATTATATATTGAAGGGAAAAAATTATCTGCCGAATCAGGTTGGTTGAGAGGAAAATTTTGTCAAGATTTTTGATCAAGACTAGCAAGGGAAAAAATGATAAAGAAAACACGATTTCAAACTGATTGACTCACGAGAAATGATTTGGAGGTTTTCATATATATATATATATATATATATATATATTTTGTTCTTAAAGAAAAGTTGATAAACACATTCCGGTGGAGAAGATAAGAAACTAATGGATGACTGATATTACTTTTCTTCTTCACTAACTGATGACATTATTATTACTATTTTTTCTTATTCCTTAAAATAACACAAAGGATATGACTTTGACTTCTCATAATTTTATCTCTTAAATTATACTTAAGCAATGGCATCATTTGTTTTTTTATTTTTAATTTTTTATTTTATTATTTACTATGATAATTATTATTATTATTTTTTTAAAAAATAATTAGATAGATAATGAAAATTTTTACATTTTTTCCGTCAGATCTTAACAGTACAGTTTTTCATGTTATGAAATTCATTTCATTTTTAGAATAAGATTAATTTCAGTAAAATTTTATACAGTGTCTGTTGATAATTTAAATAAGATAGTTTTCTTAGAAAAAATTAATGTATTTCTTTTAAACCTATGATTGTACTAGAGATATATTTATTTCGAAAAAATAGTATAGTTTTGAATTTATAAGCTATGAACATATAATAAGATAGCAGGCAATCAAATTTGCTAAAAGAGCCTTCTTTAAAGGAGAAAGATTGTAGGAAGCTTTTGGGATAGGAAGCCTAGAGAAGAAGACTAAACTCTACTTTCAGTGTAATATCGCAAATTGATAAGTTTTGGATAAAATTTTGTCCTTTCCAAATGAATCTACTTTTAAAAATCTATTATATGATACAGTAAAATTTAAAAGAATTTTATTTTTTTACCAAAATTATGATATTTAAAATAGAAAAAAAGAAGTATGACTAATTATACTCTTATACAATTGAGACGAAGAAGAGTCTTGAGTTTTCTGGTAATTCTTCGGTAAATCTTTTTTTCTTTTTTTTGATAAATACTTGATTGATTTTAAGAAACTCCAATTATACATATATATATATATATAAGAAAAAGAACATTTAAGTTGCTTGTTTAGAAAGGAAAAAGTTAAGTTTAAGATAGTTTGTAAATTAAGTAATATTAAAGATTTATACTATCTTTATATTTTATTAATAAGAATGAGATTTAACTGTAATTAAACGTTAAATAAAAATAAAGTTAAAAAGATCGAAATAATTTTTATTTTTATTTTAGAGTAAATATCTATCATTCAATCATAGATTATTCATAATACGAAAACAATATCTAAATTAATAAAACATTAAAAATTATCATTTTTAAAGAGTATAATACTTTGTTTTTTTCATATTAGTAGATAAATTTTGATTTTATACTCTTAATGCTATCTATAATAATGGTTTTATTTATAATTTTAATATCAAAGTACTTGGAAGAATCAAACCAAAGTTATGAAAAGTGGAGAACCATCTTAGTATTCTTTGTGGGTTAATTACCCATTTTTGTCACTTTCTTGTCATTTGCCATCCTTTTATTAATTATTATTATTATGTCTTCACACAATTTTTTGGTAGAGAGGTGACAAGCAAGAGAGACATGACCACAAAGTATGTAGGTTAGATGTATACATACATATTCCAAATATCATTGTTGAAAAAGTAGTACATATATACATACAACTCCCACAAGGGAGATGCATATATACACAACCAAAACAAGAAATATATGTGTGTGTGTGTTGGGCTTTTGTAAATTTGAATAGCTGTTGCATTGGGTTCATGGATTGGACAGAGGACCCACACCAACCTTTACCATATACTGCTAAATATATCATCTCATATTGCCATGCCCACCACACCCTTTTCTCTCTTTCAACCACAGTCACTCACAACCTCTTCAAACTTTTCAAAATAATATTTTTTCCAAAACCCAATTCTCAATTCTCTCTCTCTCTCTCTCTCTATCCCTTTAGGCCTTATCCTCATTCTTCCAGATCTTAACTATTTTACTGGTTTTCAACTATGGACACCCACGAAAAACGCAGAGACAAACAGCGCGAAGAAGGTGATGAAGAAGCTAAATTACCCTCCGCCTCTTCTTCTCCTTCCCATGAATTCTCCTTCACCATCTCACTTCACCCTTCTGCAGATAAAACCAAGTTATCCCTGCAACCTTCTCAGTTCGCCATAGATTTATCTCCTGCAGATGACATTTTCTTCCACGGTCACCTTCTTCCTCTCCACCTTCTCGCTCACCTTCCTCTCTCTCCTCGTTCCTCTACCAATTCCACGGACAGTTTTACTCTCCCCATCATCAAAGACGATACTCAAAGACCTAACAACACCAACCTCGAATCCACAAACTCCGTTGATAAAACAAATAAGCTACCTGAAACTACCCTGGAGGAATCAACAAGCAAGCCCAGGTCTAATTTCTCTTTTTTGTTCCGGCTGACCAGATGGAGAAAAGGGTTGGAAGGTAAACAAGAGGAAGAGAAGGAGAAGCAGGGGAAGAAGAAGAAGTTAAGATTAGAATTAAGTGATGTGATAAAGAGGTACGTGAGAATGGTTCGGCCATTGTTGTTCTTCAAAAGGAGAGAGAAAGTGCAGCTGCGCAGGCAGCAGGCTTACTCGTTTTCAGGCAATCTGAGTAATTCAAGAAACAAGGCAGAGTTGAGGGGAAGAAGAGGAGAATATAACTCTGCACCCGCATCCATGAGAACATCTCCTTCAAACAGCGGTCTTCTTCTTGCAACCACAAGTATTACTTCTTCTTCTTCTTCCTCCGACAGCACCATGGAAGAGTTGCAGGCTGCAATTCAAGCTGCAATTGCTCATTGCAAAAACTCCATTGCTGTAGAAGATAAACTAAAATAATCACATTATACACATATATATATATATATATATTATACACACTTGGTCTCTTTCTTCTTCTTCTTCTTCTTCTTCTTCATGTTGAGCTTCTTTTAACGGTCGTTCCAATTATTATTTCTTTTTGCAGTGTATAAAAATGGAACATATATAAACAAGTATTCTATCAGTCTTTCAAGACTCAATTAGAATTAGTCTTTTTAATTCTTCTCACTGCATTCTGTGAATCATATGAAAAACTTTGTATGGTGTATTTATTGATTTGATTTTATTGTCTGCATACACTGAAAAAGTAGAAAAAAAAAAAAAAGAAAAGAAAAAGATTTTTGACATAATCTGACAGGAAAATATACCCTGAAAAAGTAGAAGCAGAAGAGATGAGGGAAAGGGTTCAATAATTCCTCGTTTTTGCAATAATGAGGCACACGGTTGGCTAATCTCATCCCACAAACTCTCTCAGCCCTTCCTGTCTCATCTTCCTATATGAACAGTGTGGTTCTCATTTTGCATTCCTATGTATCTATACATTCCATATACATACATACATACATACATACATACTCAACACCTTCTACTCCACCTAAATGTACACACACACACACACACACACACACACTATTACTACTACTATTATCTTCATCAATCACCAAAAAAAAAAAAAACATTTATTTCTATGATAAATTACCAACCATTAGCTACATTAAAATTTAATCTTAATTTTTTCTTTCATAAAGATTTAATTTTCCGAATAAAATTTCTAGAGTAAAAATTTTAAATTTTTCTCGTATTAAATCGAACAATATAAAAAAATTAAATAATTAAAAAATTTAAAATAATTATTACAACTTTTCTTTAAGTAGTTAATATATGTTATTATTATATGCATGGCTTTGGCAAAAATAAAATAAATGTTCTTGTAATTTTATTAAGATAAATATTGATACAATTAAAAAAAAATTAAGTTCATTTTCGTCAAACTGTTTACAGTAAAACAAAATATCACTAATTAAAAAAATTATAAGATTAATGACTAAAATATAATAAATAAATTTGTCCTGTTCCTAGTTAATTATAATATAAAACAATCAGTTTAGGAACTAAATTACTTATACTCTTCTTATTATATTTATTATATTATTTTTTGTCGTCATCATCATCATTATTATATAATCTAATACGTATGTTTATAAAATCACCCCTAATTAAGTATATATATAAAAAAAAAAGATTTATGATTGAGTTATGTTTTAATATTTTCACTCATTCTTGTTGACTTTCACTTGAGAATTAGTAAACGTATACACATATATATATATATATATATATACACACACGCACATATACACATAGATTTATAGCGATAATAATAATGACGTAATAATAATAGAGAGAAAGTATGCTTAGTTTGACCGGTGAAAAAAACCAGTCAGGCATGGATGGTCAAGTTGGAATGCATGATTATAATGATTAGGGTCTTTTAGTTAACGATGTTTTCTTTCATCCCCATCATAATTACGATAATCACATCTCATATTCTATATCTATATATGTATGTATATATTTCAGTATCACAACTAGGAAAAATGGCTAGTTGCATTCCACCCATTTTCCTGTTAATTCCGGTACGTGTTTTTATTTTTAGAAAAAAAATATAATATTAAATATAGTTTTAGATTGTAAGATTTTGTTTAAAACTGATAGAAAATTATAATTAATTTTAATGCAAAAAATAAATAATAAAATATTTATTTTTCTACTTACAATTTTTAATTGTCTATCTTTTTTTTAAAATGTTATTAGACTTTTAAATAATTTTCAAGTCTTAAAATTAATCTTTTTTATGAATATTTTTAATTTTAAGCAAGAAAAGCCTTTTAACATTATTTTGAATAATTAATGAAACTATTCTCCTAAGAGATACAAAATTAAATATAATATAAATAATTAATAAAATTTGGAGAAAATTGCTTATAATAAAAAAAAAAATAAGAGCTTTTTTATTTTTTATTTTTCCCCGAAAACCCAAATAGAAAATAGTCGATGTTTTCATTGGAAAAAGGAACGAATTAATGAGTAGTATGAATGCGTACACGCATCAACCAAAGTCATGATCAAGTGTTTAATTGACCATTTGGTAAACAAAAAACAATTAATTAATTAATTAAGGAAAATAATTATTAGGTAGTTCAGAATTTTATTAAATATATTTTATATTTTATTTATATATATATATTTAAAATAATAATAATAATAATCAAATCAGTTTGATGAATCATTGAAAGGAGAAAATACCCCACAAAGAAAAAGACTTTTTTTCTGGGTTCAATTCTAATCACACTTTTTTTTTTTTTTTTTTTGATCAACCTCCTTAAACTAATTGGAGAACCCATCTGTGCTTTAGCACCTTCCATGTGCTCCTGGGACATTACCTCAATCTTAATTAGTTTATATATGTATGTATATATTTAATAACTATACATGCACATAATACTAATATTTGTTTTAAGAAAAAGGAAAATTTCAAGATTCCACCTTTATATATTTGGTTTTGTTAATTTTGATGCACTAAACAAACTACATTTATATTATTATGGTATATTTAGTGTAACTGATGATTGTGTTTGTATCATGAACTGATAATATTATTTTGAAAAAAAATAATAATAATTTTATATATTTGATTTTATTAATTGTGATGCACTAGAATTGTAGTTGTTTAAATAATATACTATTTTGTGTTCTGAATTTATAATAATATTTTGAAAATAATTTTTAAACAAAAATAATATAAAGTAAATTTTTTTTTTAATACGAAATATTATATTATATTTAATTAATTATATTATTTTTAAAACTATTAATTTAAATTATTTTAAAAAATATATTTAGTTTTTAATGTAAATATTAGCTTCAAATGGATATAATGTTAATAATTTATGATACTTAATCTATTAAATTTAATAAATAATACTTCGATAAAAATATTATTAATTTTTTCACAGAGCACAAACTATTTTTCAAAATCAACTATTTACAGCTTTTTTATTTCATATTTATAAGTATATCAAAATATATTAAATTAATATAATCATATAACATTTATTCTGTCTTGTTTAACTGCTAAATGTGGATATATTGTTTTTCTATTTAAAAAATTAAAACCAGCTCATACTCTTTTTATAGAAAATTATGTTCTAAATTGAAATTGTAATAAAATTACGAAAAATAATTTTAATTAGGAAATGTTGAATTATTAGCTAAAAACTTATTCGTGTGTAAAATTCTGGAGGCAGAAGAAAAGAAATATTTCTGAAATTTTTTCTG